AGAGTAGTCAAATTCATAGAGACAGAAAGTAGAATGGTGGTGGCCAGGGCACAGAGGGAGGCGGGAATGGGGATATATTGTTTATGGGTACAGAGTGTCAGTCTGGGATGATAGAAAAGTTTTGTAGATGGATGGTGGTCATGGTTGTACAACAATGTGAAGGTACTTCATACCACTGAACTGTACACTTAAAAATGGTTAAGATGGGGGCCGGCCCGGTGGCGCAGCAGTTAAGTTCGCACGTTCAGCTTCTCCGCGGCCTGGGGTTCGCTGGTTCGAATCCCGGGTGCGGACATGGCACCGCTTGGCAGCCATGCTGTGGTAGGCATCCCACATATAAAGCAGAGGAAGACGGGCACGGATGTTAGCTCAGAGCCAGGCTTCCTCAGCAAAAAGGGGAGGACTGGCAGTAGTTAGCTGAGGGCTAATCTTCCTCAAAAAAACAAAACAAAAACAAAAATGGTTAAGATGGTAAATGTTACGTTATACATATGTTATATGTATTTTACCACAACTTTTAAAAATCACACACAAAAATTAAATGCTAATTTCTCATTCACCTCACAGACCAATATTCTGGTCAGTGGGTTTGGGATAGTGAGTGAAGGGCTCTGCCATAAGCTGCCAATAGAAAGACCCAGGCTGACAGAGCCTTTCTCACCTTCAACATCTGGCTTCCAAGGCCATTTTGACATCAACATCCAGCCAGTAGATGGGGGAGGAGTAAAAGAATCACATGCGGGAAGTTTTTATGGACCAGCCCTGGAAGTTGCATACCTTCCATTCTCTGGAACTCAGTCTTGCTGCAACACCTAATTGCAAGGGAGACTGAAAAGTCTAATCTAACTGTGTATTCAGGAAGAAGAGAAAAGAGGTTTGATAATGACTTAGCACTCTATGCCATAGTCCATCCATTTGGTCATCAAATACCCATTTCACGCTTTTCCCCAGACATATAATACGCTTACTCCCCCTGCAAGTGAGATAGCCTAAAATCTCATATAGTCACTTCATCAAGTTCAAAGTACAGGATCCCCAGGTAACTGCACAGGATTCTCTGTCAGGTCTGGATATAATTCCACATCATCTTGTGACCCAATGATTCTCAACCAGGAGTGATTTTGTCGCCCAGGAAATCTTAGGCAAAGTCTAGAGACATTTTTGATTGTCGCAATTGAGAAGGAAGGGGATGCTACTGGCATCTAATGGGTAGAGGCCAGGGATGCTGCTAAACATTGTACAATGCACAGGACAGCTCCCCACAACAAAGCATTGTCCAGTCCAACATGTCAATAGTGCCAAGGATGAGAAACTCACTGTGACCTATGAATTAATAAGATATCTTCCCCAGTTACACCCCATATATAATGACGGAGCAAATGTATTGCAGTAAATATTTCCAAGGGAGAAAGGGAGACATTGGCCCACTGCAAAGATGAAATTCAGCATGTTGGTGTTTTGATGGTGCTGAACTGCTGTGGGGGAAGTTCCCAGGCTAGACCTTGTTTCCACTCTCTGCAAGGAACCCCCTTGTCCATGATCCTGTGTGGTCACTGGCATTGCCCTCTGGAAGTTTTTGCTCTAAGCCCACATATAAAGTGGGTGTTGGGAAGCATGCCTGCCTCTTGGAGAGTACAGCTTTTCATACAGGCTCATGATTTCGTTAGCAATACAGTCCCTCAGTAACTGAGCAACTTGTGATCTATTTGCTTCCAGTCAGTTCTATATGCCAGTAACACTAAAGTTCTTTCCTAGAGATAACTCCCGATCCTAATTCATTTCTTTGCTTTTTCATCCCTGTGCTTCTCTTCCTCGCAAGATAAAGGGCCATCAGACTTAAATGTGAAGGCCACACCCTAAATCTAATCTGTGCTGCATGGCTGAGTTTTAATGGGCCCTTGTTGCTCAAAAGCTTTTTCAATCTTATTTCCTATTCTTTGAAGTATAGAGCAGTCAGTGTTTCCAACCTCTTGAGACTCCAAATTTCTATACTTTCTATATTCCTTTTTGATTATCCTGGAAAATCTGCTTATTATTTTTCCAATATCTTGCTAAATGCTGCCCATAAACATCACCTACCCACATTCCATCTTCCAACCTCTTCTACAGTCATGGACTTTGTAGACACCTTATTTGCCTTCCAAATTATTGCAGGTAACTCTTTTACCAAATGTCTTGCCATAGGTTTCCATTTTCCAGCCCCTAATAATAGTTTACTTGTTGTCTACTGCCTGCCTGATGAGTTTTAGATTTTTATGAAAGCACCATACCTCTGTAACAATTGCTGTACTAGTTAAGGTAATGCTGGCTGTTGTGACAGGCATTCCTCAAAAGGTCACAGTAAAAGTTCATTTCCTGCTTACATAACAGTTCAAAGTAAGTGTTCCTTGTCAGGGTGGAGGGGTGAGGCAGTAACCCTTTGCCACACAGTCACCTAGGGACCCAGGCTTATCTCGGAGGTTCTGTCATTTTCAACATGTAACTTTCAAAGTTTCCCTTGACATCAAAATCCAACCAGCACATGCTAGCAGAGAGGACGGATCACTTGTGCCAGTTTCTATGGGCCAGACCTGGAATTGGCACCATCACTTTTGTTCACATTGCATTGGCCAATGGGATTTAAGTAAAAGCAGAGTGTGCATCTTCCAAGAAGTGTCCTTGAGGGAAGGGGGCATACCTTTCTTCCTTTTGAGCATGGCTTTCTTCCTTCTCTCTTCTTGCTGGCTGGAATTGAGAAATGGTAGCTGGAGCTCTAGCAGCTATCTTAGACCATAGGGTGAAAACCTCATGTTCAAGATGATGAAGCAACAGAGCTTAGATCTCTGATTATCATGGAGCTCTCATACGGGCTCTGGACTGTTTACCTCCTGACTTTATTTAAGAGAGAAATGAGCTTCTGCCGTATTTAAGCCACTGTTGTTTTGAGTTTTCTTTTATTTGCAGCTAAATCTAACTTTAACCTACATAATTATTCTCCAGTTGTTTGGTATGGTTACTTTTTCTTCTTTCCTCTCCCTTTAGTTGGAGACCTCTGATACTCCCTTCTCATAGTGGAGGGTACTAGAAGAGCTGTCAAATCTCTGACAAGCAGTCTTAGCACATGTCTAGCACCTTTATGATTTCACCTGAGAGGTAAAACTCTCAGTATTGGTCCGCAAATTCAGATCATTTCAGGAAACATTTATTGAATACCCACTAATGCCAGGTACTAGGCTAGATACAAGAGGTACAAAGATGATTAGCAAACCATCCTGGCTTTGAGGAACTTTCTGATAGGTATCAGGGTAGATACTTAGATCTGCTGCCTCAATTTCCATTCCATCATTCTATCTGAAGAAGTTGGAAAGCTAAAAATTGCATTCCTCAGACTCCCTTGCCACTTTAATTCTAGTTGCAAATAATGCCTGCCAAATAGACGCACTTATGAAAAAACAGGTGCAAGTGAAATGGAGGCTTTCTTCCTGCTGCTGTGGCCACTTGCAAGCAAGGGGTGATGACATGTTTGTGGCATCCAGACTCTTCATATGTGGCAATGGCAATAACAGTGTCCTATTGTCAGTTTCCCATCCCAGCTATATTGACTATTGGTCAGAATAGACTAGCCTTATGCTGTAGTAACAAGTAATCCCTAAAATCTCAGTGGCATAATACAACAAGTTTCCTTCTTACCAACAAAAAGTTTACTGCATGCCCAGCAAAGGAAACCATCAACAAAATGAAAAGGCAACCTATGGAGCGGGAGAAAACATTTACAAATCATATATCTGATAAGGAGTTAATATCCAAAATATATAAAGAACTCATACAACTCAACAGTAAAAAAAAAAAAAAAAAAAAAAAAAACAGTCTAATTAAAAAATGGGCAGAGGGGGGCCAGTCCTGTGGCCGAGTGATTAAGTTTGCATACTCTGCTTTGGCAGCCCGGGGTTTCACCGGTTCAGATCCTGGGCATGGACATGGCACCGCTCATCAAGCCATGCTGAGGTGGCATCTCATATGTCACAACTAGAAGGACCCACAACTAAAAAAAAAAATACACACCTATGTACTGGAGGGCTTTGGGGAGAAAAAGGAAAAATAAAATCTTTAAAAAAAGAATTGGGCAGAGGAACTGAATAGACATTTTTTCAAAGAAGACATACAAATGGACAACAGGCACATGCAAAGGTGCTTAACATACTAAAATCATCAGGGAAATGCAAATCAAAACCACAATGAGATATCACCTCAGACCTGTTAGAATGGCTATTATGAAAAAGACAAGAAATAACAAGTGTTGACAAAGATGTGGAGAAAAGGGAACCCTTGTGCACTGTCGGTGGGAATGTAAATTGGTGCAACTATGGAAAATAGTATGGAGGTTCCACAAAAAATTAAGAATAGAACTACCATGTGATCCAGCAATCCCACTTCTGGGTATAAATCTGAAGGAAATGAAATCACCTTCCCAAAGATATAGCTGCATCCCCATGTTCATTGCAGCATTATTTACAATAGCCAATCCATGGAAACAAACTAAGTGTCCACTGATGGGTGAATGGATAAAGAAAATGTGGTGAAATATTACTCAGCCATAAGAAACAAGGCCATGTTATTTGCAACAATATGGAGGGACCTCAAGGGCATTATGCTAAGTGAAATAAGTCAGAAAGACAAATATTGGATGGTCTCACTTACTGTGGAATCTAAAAAAAACGAACTCATAGACACAGAGAACAGATTGGTGGTTGCCAGAGGCAAGGGTTGAGGGGTGGTGGGCAAAATGGGCAAAGGGGGTCAAAAGGTACAAATTTCCAGTTATAAGATAAATAAGTTCAGGGGATGTAATGTACAGCATAGTGACTATAGTTAATAGTACCGTACATTTAAAAGTTGCTAAGAAAGTAGATTTTAAAAGTTACCAGAGGAAAAAAATTGTAACTATGTGAGGTGATTGATGTTAACTAAACTTATTATGGCAATCATTTCACAATATACGCCCATATCAAATCATTATGTTGTACATCTTGGACTAATGCAATGTTATATGTCAATTATATCTCAGTAAAACTGGGATAAAAAGGTTTACTGCAGGTGGGGGCAGTTGTTCTCCGTGTGCTGACCCACTGATCTGGGCTGCTTCAATCTGGTGCCTACCCAAGGTCTCCTCCATGACTGTTGTGGCAGGGAAGAGAAGGTCTAGAGAATTGCTCAGAGGCTTTTCACTGTCTCATCCCAGAAGTGACACACACATTACTTCTTCCCACATTTTATTGGCTAGAGCTAGTCACACGGCCCCACCTAATTGCAAGGGAATTGGGAAATGTTAACTCTCACATGCCCAGGAAGTAAAGGAGGACCAGATATTAATGAACATTAGTAATGTTTACCACAAATAATGTGACCTTGATTTCAATAATCTGTTGACTTCCACTCCTCCAGCCCTTCCAAGAGTTTCAGAAGCACTGAATTGTCTGAATGATATCCTTTTGGTTTTGTAAAGTGGCTTGGGGTTCCTACAGTGAACCCTGACTGAATCAGGTGGGTGCTGGTAGCTTTCTGTCCCCTTCCCTCCATCCACTCTCCAGCCTTCTGCGCCCCAGGAGACCGTCCTCAATGAACTGCACCTTCCAGGTTCCTTTGCCCTCTGTCTTCGGTTGGTTTGGGATAATGGGAGGTACTAGCAGGAGATCAGAAAGCAAGAGGTGAGAGAGGTCAGGATATTTATCTCCCTCTTTTCAACTCCCCACCAGACTGTGGGTCCCTTACCCCACACTCAGTTTGGTAAAGGGTCCTTTCGTTAAACCTTCCTCATTTAAACACTTTGTGTGTGAGGTCTGTTTCTTGCCTGGCCCCTGGCTCATACAAAGTGTTTAATATTCAAATCGTGAGTCTAGAAAAAGAGTACTAGATTCTCTGCCTTCCCCCAGTTTTACTGCAGCAGGAGATCTTTATAAAATGCAAATCTGAACATATCATTCCTCTGTTTTAAAACTTCAGTGACTCCCTGTTACATCCCTGTCCCCACACCCCACTCTAAGTCACAGCCAGACTGAACCACTTTCAGTTCCTCCTGCAACGTGATCTCTCTTCCTCTGAGCCTTTGCACATCTCTCTTCCTGGAAACCACTCCCCACCCCCACTCTCATCATTCAGACATAGCTCAAATGACACTTAGCCCAGAATGCCTTCCATAAACCCGCTTATCCTAGTTAGATGTTATTATCTGCTCCCACAGCAGCCTCTATGCACCATTACATAGAGATAGAACTCAATGTTACATTGTACTGCAACTGTCTGCTTACTTATCTGTGTCCTCCAATAAACGGTAAGATAAAGAACAAGGACTGCATCTCAGATCTCTAGGTCCTACTAAGGTGCTTGGCACACAACAGGCTCTCAATAAATCTTGGCTACTTCCTGAATGTTATTGAAAAAGCTTGAACCCTCCTCCTCTAGCCACTGTCCTCTCTTTTCATTCACTGACAAAAATCAGAAAAAATAATTTTTAGTCACTCACTCCTCCTTACTACCTTCCATTCACTTCCCAGACCATTTTCATCTTACTTTGCCACCACCTTTTATGAAGACTTCTCTCACCAAGATTACCAATGACCTCCCAGACCTTCATTTTAATAGCTTCTTTTCAGTCCAAATCCTCCAGGATTGCTCTGCAGCACTTTCTGGAAACTCCCTCCTCTGCTCTCCATGCATCATGGAGATCCCCCCGCCACCCCCCACCCCTGTCTCTGTTTAATTGACCTGTTTGCATATCTTTGTTACCCTCCATTCATTTTTCAGCCCCTGTGTGTCTTGTTCATGTGTGTCTCTAGTACCCAGCATAGTGCCTGGCACACAGTAGGTCTCAATAACTATGAATGTTAAATGATTAAAACTTTTTCTTGGGGGCTGGCCCAGTGGCGCACCTGTTAAGTTCACACACTCCGCTTCTCGGTGGCCCGGGGTTCACAGGCCCAGATCCGGGGTGTGGACATGGCACCGCTTGGCAAAAAGCCATGCTGTGGTAGGCGTCCCACATATAAAGTAGAGGAAGATGGGCATGGATGTCAGCTCAGGGCCAGGCTTCCTCAGCAAAAAGAGGAGGACTGGCAGTAGCTAGCTCAGGGCTAATCTTCCTCAAAATTAATTAATTAATTAATTAATTAATTCAACAAGGTACTCTTAAAAAAAAACCAAAATCTTTTTCTTGGCTTCCAGGCCATCTCTCTTTCTTGATCTCCTTTTTTCCTCTGACTGTTCTCAGGAGCCTTCACAGACTCCTCCTCCTCCAACTACCCATCAAATTTCTTCAGAGTAACTCATTTTCATCCACCGTTGGGGCTTCAGCCACCAGGGAATACTCGAATTCCCAAATGCATATTTTCAATCCTAACCTTTCACCTGAACTATGACTGCCCTTCTCTCCCTGGATGTCTCGAAGGCAGTTCAAACCAAGACTCATTACTGCTTCCATTCCCAGCCTGTCCTCCTCCTGCTTCCAAAGCTGAGTCAAGGGAATTAACATCCATCCAGTTGTCCAAGATACAAACTTCAAAGTCCCGTTAACTCTTCCCACTGCCTTTCCCCCCTTGTCCCGCTGGGCAACTAGCTTTATCCACTACCAAACACCCAGCCCCAAACTCCTAAACCCTGCCTCTGCGTCTCTACTTCTGTTTCTTCCCCCCACCACCCCCCTACTTTGCCCCAAATTCTATTCATTTTTTGAAATTCAGAACACTGGTTAACTTCCATTAATTGCTTCCTTTTCTGAGTTCTAGACAAATTGCTTCTTCATTCTGAACAAACACACTGATGCTAGATTTTACTTTTTAATGACTGATTTACATATGTCTCCCTCACTAGATTGTGCAATTCTTGAGGGCAGGTTTTCTCTTTTTTTTTGATCATCGGGTCTAGCCAGTGACTATTTTAGGCGATTAAAAAATATTTCTATATGAAGGAATGCATGAATAAATGAGTGAATTGGAAACGAGAATCTCTTCAATTACACCCTTTCAGAGATTACTCCGAGGGAATCTTTGAGTTAAAAGGACAGTTTGAAAACAAGGAACAATGTGTAATCAAGTAGGCAACATACATTGTAACCACATACACAAGCGTATAGAAGGCAGATAATTCCTATGCATCCAGGGAGACTTCATTTCTAGGCTTTTCACTTCCCGGTTTGCAAGCCAAATTTTAACAGGGACGGTATTATTTAACCCCTTCTGCGCTCTTTTATCCTGGTGACAGGAATTAAAGTATAAACGAGAAAAAATGCCTGTAGTAGTACAGTGACTGGGCACTTGGTAGGTCCTCAACATCTTTTAATCCTTTTCCTTTTTCCTACCTCGTCCTCGTTTTCTATTAAAAGGCTAGTGAATTTAGAGTACCTAAAGGAAATTTTAGTTTTAGAATTTCAGTTGGACGAAACCACGTCGTGGAGATTCTGATTAACCCCATTAACCCATGACTCTCAGACCAAGGGGGAAAAAAATCACCGGGAGAAAGGAGGCGGAGCAAACACTGAAAGCCAGGCGGAGAGGAAGCCGTGGAAGGAAGCTCCTCTTTGGTTGGGTTTGTCTTTTTTTAACCCCAGAGAGGCGGGACGCCCTAACTGCCGTCGCGGGTCGTTTCCCGGGGAGGCGCCCGCACGCCCCGGCTTTCCTCGCCCGCCCTCCCGCTTCCGCCCGGCGCTGCGCTGCGGGCCGCGGCCGCTGGGGGCGCCCCGGGCGCGTGGCGCGGAGGCGGCGGCTCTGCGAGCTGCGCCTCTCCCCGCTCTCAGACGGGCGGCGGCGGCGGCGAGCTGCGCACCGAGAGCGCGCCCACCGCCCGGGCGAGCTGCAGCACGACCGCTCCTCGCGGGCGGGCGGGGTCCGCGCCGCGCTCCGGCCCGGGCTGCGGCGAGAGGCGGCGGCCGCGGCCCCGGCCCCGGCCGGCGCGCGGCGCCCCCCGGCCGCGCCCCCGCGCGCAGCTCGCGGCCCTGGCCATGGGGCTGCGGGGGCCCGGGGCTCGGCTGAGCTGAGGCGGCGGCGCCGGGCCGCACGCCCCGTGGGGCCGCCCCCGCACCCCGCCCGCCGGCGTCTGGCTCTCATGATGATGAAGAAGAAGAAGTTTAAGTTTAAGGTGGACTTCGAGCTCGAGGAGCTCTCCTCGGTGCCCTTCGTCAACGGGGTCCTCTTCTGCAAGATGCGGCTGCTGGACGGCGGCAGCTTCACCGCCGAGTCCCCCAGGTAACGCGCCCCCCGCGCCGCGCTCTCCTCCCGGGCGGCTGCGCCCTCGCCTGCCCCGCGGGGGCTGGTTTGCTGGGCAGCATCTCTTTCCCTGGCCCATTTGCTCCAGGAGGGCGGCCAGCCTCGTGAGCCTCTCTTTCTCTGGGGACCAGGCTGAAATCAGTCAGGAATTTATTGATCTGCACAAAGTGCTTCGCAAATGGGTTCATCTCGGCTGGGCTTGGCTCCTGCCCTCCTGATTCCAGATGGTTCCTGGTATCTGCTCTTCCCTCCTAAATTCTCTAGAAATGGGAGGGGAGCGATGGCCAGAAGGGAGAAGATGCTTCTGGTTTCTCTTAAGACGTTTCCATATTTGTGAAATGCAAAGTAGAACTTGAGCTGTTGTTAAAACAAAAACAAAAATTACCCAAACTGCTCACGTTCCAGCAGCGCCCGCTCTGAACAGAAGCCTGTGCTCAGCATAACTCCTTCTCCCTTGTTGGTTACTCCGGGACTCGGGCGCCTGGGATGCAGCCGGCGTAGGCCTGCTCTGGCTTGACTTGAGTCAAGTGCTCCCCGATAGACGGGACAACCGTCTGCCCCATCAGAAAGCTGCGTCTCCAATTACTCGCTAACACTCGCTCGGTTACCCATCTTGAAGTGGCCACTGGTGACTCGCAGCGTGGAGGACTTAGAAGGAGCGGAGGGCCCAGGCCCTGCCCTCCTTTTGAAATGAACCCCTGGGCACTCTCAGGGAGAGTCGTTGGCAGGTTCCAGAATGAAGTCAGGAGTGGTAGTTTTCCTTGAGTCATTTCAGGGCTATTGGTGGGTTGACACATTTACCCTAAGGGAAGTTTCCTGAAGAAAATAGAAAATTTACAGAATTTTTTAAATGAACTTTTAAGTTACTGAGATCATGGAGAAAGGTTAACAGTTAATGCTTATTTTGCCTAAACATACTGTCCGTAGACTATTTTTACCCCAAAAATATTCTGCTTTCCTTTTATCTGTCATCCTTATTAATAATGTAAAGAAAATAATGCCAATGGGTTGTGGAATTGGGGCCAGAAAATTGTGCACGGTGGAAATAGCGAAGCCTTTGGAAGCCAGAAAATGTAAATGTCTAGTTGGCCAAAGCAAAGGATATATGAACCACTGTTGGTTCTCAGAATTAAAAAACGGTCAGCCGAGGTTAGTTTTTAAAATTAAACTGTGATAAGAAATCTTCTGTGGATATTTGACTAATTAATTATACTACAATCATTTTTAACACACTGGTAAGAGAACAGTGTAACCTCGAGGAATGTCACAAATATTGTACCAGCTCTTAAGGTGTTGAAAAGCCAAAGCCAATTCCTGAATGTCCAGTAGGAGCGGTGCCCCTTCCTCCACTGCGCCTCTGGCAGTTAGAGTAGCTCTCCTGGGCCACTGGTGACACCTGGTGGTCAGGGTACTTCCCTACTACCTCCTTTCTCCCTCAGATTGTTATTTGGCTTGCTCCTCACGAGTCAGTTACTCTGGCATTGCAGGCAGTCACTTGTTCAGCAGATATGTATAGGCTGGTCCCTTTAAATATATTATCTTATTTAATTCTAACAAGAAGCCTGTGAGGTAGGGAATTCCTACTTTGTGGATGAATAAACTGAGACTCACAAAGCATAACTGACTTTCCCGAAGTCCCCACATCTAGTAAGTGAAATCTAGTAAGCCAAGATTCTGATCCAGGTCTGTCTGATTTCAAGCTGATCGATGCCAGATAAAGGAGAAGATTGTGTGCCATGCTGAAGAGTTTAGGAATAGGAAACTTCCTAATGGTTTTAACAAGCAAGAGATATAATTTGATTTGTACTTTACAAGGAAAAGAAAAAGGAAAGGAAAAAGCAGAGTATCCTGGGTTAAACTTACCCCCTTCTCCTTGAAGTAAAATTTGATTTTAATCAAGGTCAGTCAGTAAAGTTAAGAACAGTGCTCTGTATAACCAAACAACCAAAAAAACAAAAACAAAAACAAACCAAATGGTTTGCAGGGAAATGATTCACAATAAGGAGACTGTGCCTTTGAAGTTAGGTAGAGGTGCTGATGTAGTGCTCAGAGCAAGGGTTTGGAATGAGGCAGATCTGAGCCTAAATACTAGCTCCACCATGGTGCGCCTGGGGGTTGTTATGTAGCCTCTCAAAGCTTCTGTACATGCAAACCACCACTGGACATAGGGCTGTTGTGAAGATTTAGTAAGATAATGTACCTAACACAGTGTTCTGGCACTCAGTTGACCTTTAAAGAGAAGACAAGGAGCTTGTCCAAGAGGGTTCATTTCCTTTAGATGTTATACTTAATTCCTCCATCCTGACGGTTATGGAAGTGTTGATTTGAGAAAGGTACCTTATTTTACTAGAAAAAAAAGAAAGAAAACCTGATGGGGCCAGCCTGGTGGCGCAGTGGTTAAATTCGCATGTTCTGCTTCTTGGCGGCCTGGGGTTCGCAGGTTCGGATCCCAGGTGCGGACATGGCACCACTTGGTATCGCATGCTGTGGCAGGCGTCCCACATAGAAAGTAGAGGAGGATGGGCACGGATGTTAGCTCAGGGCCAGGCTTCCTCAGCAAAAAGAGGAGGATTGGCAGTAGTTAGCTCAGGGCTAATCTTCCTCAAAAAAAAAGAAAAAAAGAAAGAAAGAAAACCTGAAATACCTAAAGGATGTGAATCATTTCAAAATTGCATAACTTTTAATTTTTAGATGCCAGTCTGAGCAGTGCATCTCTTATTAAATGCTAGACTTTAATTTTTAAAAAATCACTTTGTGTGCCTTTTATAAATCAAGTATAGTTAACACTGTAACATTTCTCCCATAAAAATAAGAAGTGAACTACAGAGAAAAGGGTTAACATAACAGGTCTGAGACTACTCTCCTTAGAAAGGCCTGCCTACAATGTTGGCCCTTGGCTGGCATCTTGGGACTTGAATGGTCAACAGTCCCCTACACTGATGTAAAACTTTACCTAAGTGATAAGAGTGGCTCACTGTGCCTAGACTACAAACAGTGTGATTTATGCAGAATGCTTTCTGGGAGTCTGCAATTTTGGCATATGCTAGGCAGAGGGTGCTTATGTGACCAGCCCTAAAAACACTTTGGGCTTGCATTTCTACTGGACTTCCCTGGTAGACAACATGTGTGGTCACACTTTGTTGCTGGAGAAATTGTGTTCTGGGTGACTCCCCTTGGAGAAGACTCTTGGAAGCTTGTGCCTGGTTGCCACAGGACTTTGCCCCATGTACCTTTTCCCTTTGCTGATTCTGCTTTGTATCCTTTCACTGTCATAAATCTTAGCCATGAGTGAGACTGTATGCTGAGTCCTGTGAGTCCTCCAAATGGATCGCTGGACCTGGGGGTGGTCTTGGGGACCCCTGATGCATGAACCTACTTAGTAAAATAATATGCATTTTGTTAGAGAAAAACTTAGAGGTACATAGCAAATTATAAATATATTTGGCTTTGTACAAAAACTAAAGATGCAGATCATTCATTGTTCACCCAGTACTAATTGAGCATTTACTGGGTTTCTAGCTGTCTGGGCTCTGAGAAGTACAACAAACATAAAGGCCATGAGGGAATTACCTCTCGATAATGAAATTAGATCGTAGATGTATAATCGCTTGACAGTAGGAGACAGTATGATTTAGTGCCTAATCAATGGGCCAGACAACAGGAGAGTGTGGTTGAAATTCTGGAAGAAAAGAGTTTATTTACAGCTGTAATGGTTACTGAAAACCATGGGAGCTTTTCAGCTGAGTGTGCTGGGAGGATGAATTTGCACTGACAAGGAAGTGCGCGTGGGAGGACAGCTTGAGCAAGCCATCAATAGGAGTGGATGGAAGATCAGCCTAATTGCAGAGAGAGTTCGTATTGAACAGAAACAGAAGATGCAAACTTTGAATGCCATTAAGAAGAGTTTGCTTTCTACTCCTGACGGGATGAAATTCAATCTAAGATTCTTGCACTTAGTCGTAATGTGATTAAAGTGCTATTTACGCTGGCTAGTGGATTGATGCTCTTTGGATCCAAGTGGGGATATATTAGAGATGGCGAGACAAGTTAAGAGGCTATTAAAATAACCCAGGCAGGAGCTAATAAGAACCTGAACTCAGAGGTTTCTCATATAAGTGACTGATGAAATGATAATGCCATGACAAATGTCTTGATGACATAATAGAAGAAGTCAAGAAGAATCTTTGTTTTATTTTATTTTGTTGAGAGGAATATAGTGTATGGTGGGGAAGGACATGAGGAAGTCAATTATATGTTTAACATACTACATTGAGGTGACAGTGAACCTGTAAGCAATTGGAGCCATATTTATTGTGTATTTCTTAGATTCTGGTGTTTTCTAAGAAGACCTGCTTACTGAACTTTTCATCTAGAATGTCCTTAAACCGCTTTGCCCTTTTAAGGATTACTAGTGAGAATTAATGTTAGAAGGATCCAGTTTCTCCTCGGAAACTTTGTCCAGTGAAGAGGTTAGAAAAAAATATAAAGACTAAAAGGTGTCTGTTTGTAATAGATGTTATTTAACTGGTCAGATTTTTACATACTATAGTTAATAAAACATTCAGAAAATACGTTGTATGATTATAGTGATCTAATAAACTGAAGCCAAATTACTGCCTAATAAATATTTTTGAAGACCTTTCAAAAAGACAGAACATTTCATTATTTAAATCTTTTCAGAGCACTCTTCCTTTGTAAAAACATGTAAATTACTTTTGAGGTTTTATTAGGACTGTCAGAACAGGTTTAATTCCTGGGCTGCTTTAATAAAGGAATAATAGGGAGAAATTTTTCCTGTATTTTTTAGGATTCTCAAATTTGCCTTAATTTGTTCATCTTTTTTTGTGCTCGTAGCTGAATGCTTCCTTTTCAGTTTCACATGCGCTTGTGGCAAAAAACCACGTGAACTCAGGGAGTGTCTGGGAAGCTAATGAGCACATCTGTGTATTGGATCTGCTACTTTGTAAACAAGCGGAAGG